GGATAACTATCTTTGGGGCACGCTCGATTGAAATCGGAGTAGTCGACACAGAGTCGCCATTTACTGTTGTTCTTACGGACCAAGACCACATTTGACAGCCATCTGAGGTAGTCCACGTTCTTAACAAACTATGCCTTCAGTAGCTTATCTACCTCAAAAGCAATAAGAGCGTTGCGTTCCGGGTAAAAGATGCGCTGCTTCTGGCGGAAGGGCCGAAAATGGGGCTCGATGCTCAAACGATGAGTGATGAAAGAGGGATCGATACCCGGCATGTTGGAATGGGTCCAGGCAAACACATCATTATGCCCGATCAGGAGGGTTGTAAGATCGGCCTTGGCTTGAGGGGATAGTTGGCTGCTGATCTTGGCTGTTTTTGTTGGGTTGGTGGGGTCGATGGGAACTTCAACAAGTCCTTCCACTGGTTCCCCTCTGACTAATTCATCTTCGTCTCTGACGTCAAGTCCTTCGATGATCATAGCCTCCTTCAGCTTGACCTCTTTGAGTGAAGCGACATAGCATTCTCTAGCCACAGTCTGCTTCCCCCTTACGGTGTCGACTCCGAGGTCGGTAGGGAATTTCATGGCCAGATGGTACATGGAAGTGACAGCTTGAAAAGCGTTAAGGGCGGTGTGGCCGAGGATAATGTTATAAGCAGAGGGGCAGCCGACGACGAGAAAAGTGAGCAACTTAGTGGTCTGCCGTGGGTATTCTCCAATGGTGATGGGAAGATCAATGGAGCCTATGGAGGTCACCCAATCTCCAGTGAAGCCAACCAGTGGGGTTTGAAGAGGGGATAAACTTTCTTCCCCGACCTTAAGCTGGCGATAGGCGTTTAGGAAGATGATGTCCGAAGAGCTACCATCGTCGACAAGCACCCGTCTGACTTTGTAATTGGACAAGAGGGCAAAGATGACGAGAGGGTCGTCATGGGAATAACGGATGCCTGTGCAATCAGCCTCCGTAAAGGTGATGGGCTCCATCCACTACTTGGGGTGTTTGAGGGGGCGGTCCAATGTTGCGACTTCTTTATCTGAGTCCTGCTTGATTTTTCTAAGTTCTGCCCGTTGGGCCGAACAGGATGGTCCTCTACATGCAAGTCCGCCGGCAATAACTCTGATTTCTCTAACTGGGATGGCAAGGTTGCCTTGTGCCCGGGGTTGTTGTGGGGGTCGATCATGGCCTTGGTTAGGTTGTGCGGGTTGTCGAGAAGGGGTGCGCCGGTGGTTGTTTCTGGTAAGTTCGGTCCTTGGCCGTTGCTGAGGGCAGGCTGCCGTGAACCGGCTGAGACGTCCCTAGCGTATCATGACCTCGACTTGGTCTTTAAGGTCAACACACTCCTCGGTATTATGGTCGTGGTCTTGATAGAAGCGGCAATATTTGGACTGGTCCCGCCAATTGGAAGGAGACTGCGACGGTTGGGGCCATTTCAAGGGATAATCTCGTTGGATCTGGTTCAAGACTTGTTCCATAGGGAAATTGAGGGGTGTGTATCGTTCGAACCGGTCGGACGGTCGGGTAGGTGCCGACCGGTCGACTCGAGCAGGTCGGTCGGTATATTGAAGCGTTTGCTGTGTGTACTGGGTGCTTCTGGTTTCAGAGTCCATTCTCTTCTCTCTGGGGGTCGGGTTTTTGGTTGTGGAGTCTTGTCGGGCAGGTAGAGAATCTTCGGCGTTCATGTATTTTTGGGCTTTAGAGAGGAGGGTTGCCATGGAGGTTGGAGGATTTTTAAAGAGGGAAAAAAGGAAATTAGATGATTGTAGACCGGCCATGAAAGCCGTGAGAATGACCTTGTCATCATTTTTTGCCACCTGCAAGGCCTCGGTGTTGAAGCGAGCGACGAAGCAGCGCAGCGACTCTCCCTCCGTTTGACGGATGTTGAGGAGTTGAGTTGCCGGACGCCGTTGGCGTTGGGCACCAATGAAGTGGCTGAGAAAGGAGTCACTTAGGTGCTGAAAAGTAGAGACCGAGTCTGTTGGCAGCTAACTAAACCATAGTCGGGCCGACCTCTTAAGCGTTACGGGAAAAGCCCGACACATGATCTCATCAGGGAATGCATGGAGGACCATGAGGGTCCTGTAAGTCTCCAAGTGGTCTACTGGGTCCGTTGTACCATCGAAGGAGTCGATCGAGGGCATTTTGAACTTAGGAGGTAGAGGTTTGTCCCTGATGGAGGCAACGAATAGTGAGTTGGCTGTGGTAGAAGGTTTATTCTGTACGTTTTGCATGACTCCTTGAAGCTAGAGTTTCATGGCTCGGAGTTCTGCATCCCAAAGAGAAGCGTTGTCACCACCGGAGTGTAATGGAGGCTGGACACTACTGGCCTCCCCCTCAGGCAGTTGCTTAGATCGGTGGATGTGGGGCTCAAGGTGGTGGGTTCATATTTTGAGGAGGGGGTCGCAAGGCCTCCAAGTTGGATGGGTGGGATTGTTGGAGGGAATGGTTCAGGGCTCGTTCCCGGTTGGGTGGTATGTCTTGAGGTGGTGGGGGGGGCATAGGAAGGCTTCTTTGAAGTAAAGCATTGATCAGGGCTTGGTTTTGTTCGGCTAAGCGATTAATGTTGTTGGTGAGTTCTGTGAACTACTGCGGTGGGTTGTTCGGGTTAGGAGGGTCCACTTAGGGGTCGGCAACGTTGTGTTAAGAAGCCATGGATCTAATTGTGACCATCCACCTTGGTGGGTGGCAGGTAGGAGATGTCACGAAGATGGCAGGAATGAGTCTCCGGCGGCAATGAGCACAATTACCACACGGAGCAAAAAAGTTCTCATAGACGGCGCCAACTGATGATACTGCAGGCTCCAGATGGAACGGGTTGGATTGATCCACACTTCCCAAACCGTTACCCAAGGGTTGAGCTCACAGCAAAACCTGCACAAGAGTTCAGCGGGGAACGAGGAGTCCCCCAGCGAACCCTCCGACGAGCAAGTTAGTGGTGAGTGATCGAATGTCGGGATAGAAATGGTGATAGAGAACTTAACCTTTTCTTTGTCTTAGGAGCCTACTTATATCCTTTGCTCATCATTTCCTTGTCCACTCCGGGCTAACACGTTGGCCGAAAGTCTATGGTTCTAGTTTGCCTTGTTCATGGTGAGGTTGTTCTGCTTCGACGTGAAAGGTTATCGTAATAAATGCTGCAAGGAAGCTCATTAATGGCTGATGTGTGGTGCAATAACTCTGTAGGATCTTTGTCTGCTGATGTGGCTGGCTCTTTACTTGCCAAGTGTTTAGATGTCATTGGTACTTGGTGTAACGTTAGGTTTTAAGAATGTTGGGCTTTAGTAGTTGAATCATGGATTGGGCCTTAAGTGGTGGGCCATATCCTTTATGGGCTTACCCATGTCACTTATCATTGTGTTGCAGCTAATAGTGAATCATGTTGGAATGTATTCCACATCGCTTGGAGTTGCCCCCATCTGTGTTGGGTACAAGGCTCTAGTTTCCCTCTCCTTAATACTTGGGTTTTAAGGAGAAATGTGAGCTGGGCTTTTCAATTTAGTATCAGAGCTTGATTGAGCCTATGATTAGTGTGCCGTTTGTCCGGCTATTGTATATTGTGGTCTAGGAAGGTGTGTTGGAATGTGTTCCATATCACCTAGAGTTGCCCCATCTATGCTGGTTATAAAGCTCCAGTTTCCTTCTCCTTAATACTTGGGTTTTAAGGATAAGTGTGGGCAGGGCTGACCCTGGGCATAGGCCCACCAGGCCATGGCTTAGAGCCCCTCAAAATAGACCCAAAAAAGGGAGCCCCTCCTATTATAGTTTAGTGTAATATATTATGTATGTTTTAAGCCCGAAAAAAGTTTTAAGCCCAAAAAAAATTTAAAAAGGCCAAACTAACTTAAAATAAATTGACCCATTAAAAAACTAAAAGGCCTATTCAAAATTAAAATGGCACATTCTCTCTCCCTATCTAATTCCTAATCCTAACTCTTAATTCAATTTTCCTTAAAATTTGAGAGAAGTGGCACAATAGAACACTAACGAATTTCTCAAGAATTCAGAAGAGCAGCACAGTATAAGTAGGTCTTTTTTCCTATTCAATTAATTAAATATTTGTCTTGTCTTTTGCTCAATTGCTATTAAAATATTGGTATTTATACAAATCTGCATCATCAAGACGAATTAATCTTTTGCTACCCGTGCTATTATAACATTAGAAGTATAATAGTTCACATCATCAAAAATTACTTTTGATCAACCATGTCACAAGAAAGGTTGAATGGATCAACATTGTCATCCATTGAAAATGATTTTGCAAAAAAACTAGATTATGCAAGTACGATTGATTTATTTGCTTCTAAAAATCCAAGAAGAGCAAGAATCAAGTAATACTTATTAGTTGTTGTAATATAATGCTAGGTATTTTTTGTGATTTTGACACAAATCTTTTATCCTTTACCTTCAAAAAAAAAAATTGCGTTGAATGAAAAAATATATATATATGTAAAGGACTCCAAATGATCTAGTGATATTTATTAGTTGATTATCAGCTTTGGGCCCCGGAAATCTCAGGGCCGGGCCTGAGTGTAGGCTGGGCTTTTCAATTAATCATACCCCCTTTTTCCCAATTTGTATCATTCAAGAGTAACTAATACCTGATTGCAACTAGCTTTGAAAATTATTTTTGTTTTTATTTTCACAATCTCTGTTCTCTTTCCTGCCTTATTTGTCCATCATATTTTTCATTCATCCTAATATTCAGGTCTGGTTTCCATCTTCATAGACCTCAGACTTCAGTGTTCAACAGCTCAATCCTGACCAAGTATTTAATAGAACAAATCTCACCATCCAAATTCATCTGAAGCAGTGCGTGCAGCAATCTGATTCTGAAAGTACAGGTGTAGACTGTTGAAACTTCACTCTTTAAGCTTAGCAGAACACTAAAAATGTGTAGATACTAAGAAGACAAGAACACATATCTTCTAATGACTCTCATTATGGTTCTAAGACATGAGATTGACCAATTTCATAAGCTGAAAAATAGGGACAAAGAAAACACTAACCATCATAATCTGCCCTGTATCAGAAGAGCTTATTGTCTTGCTCATGCTAATCTTGAAGTTCCATCTAAGAATTGACATTAAAGAACTTTCTCCCACCAATTCAAGATGTGGAAGGGACCTGTCCAAACGTTTAGAAGAAAAAAAAAAGAGAAGTAAGATAATTCTGTAAAATTAACTACCAAAAAGAAGATAAACCTTATTACAGACTTGCTGAATCAAGAAATTGACAGAATTACTATGAAAAGCATTTGAATGTCATCATACCACTAAGCAGTATAGCAGTAAAAGTCATTCAGTCATAATATGTTGTATTTAACATCAGCATAATTTTAAAAGAAAAAAATAAGCCACAAATAAAGCAATTCACCTTATCTCAATCAATCCAGTCTGGTAGACTAGAATCAACCCACTTTCTTTTCCATCTTTCTTGAAGATTGTAGTCCAACAACATGGTTTTTCAAGGTTCACTTCATGGATGGACTTACTCTCCCCCTAAATAGAACAGCTTTCCTTAATTTGTGAAAGGAATTACAGAGCTTTTTCACAGAAAATAGACGGCAAAATAGGCACCTTAATCAGAGACTTTAAAGAGTACAAACGCAATGCATCCTCACAACAAAGTAAAACAAGTGAGTCCATAAAATTTGGTCCTAAATATGTGGCTTGAGCAGAAGTGTCAGATTCGGTATCGATTGAATCATGTTCAGGGTGAGATTTGGTTTGTGTAGGTTCAGTTTTTGCTTCAGGATCCTGAGACGAGTTTAATGAAAGCTTTTCACTGGACACTTCAGAGAAAACATTGCCCTCTGCATACAGAAGGTTCGTAAGAAACTCTAACAGTAACTGTAAAGTAAAGCCATCAGCTATGTTCCATTCAAGATTATTTCACTTGCCTAAAATATAAATAGAAATTGCAGTCAACTCCATTGGGTGCATCAACTGAGAGCTGAGCATATTGCCCGTGGTGCTATCCGTAACAACAATGTGTGCATCTCTGGTCAAGATGAAAATTACTTCTTTTGCAGATTCATTTGAACTGTTTTCAGAGTGATCCAAATTGCTATGAATATTTGGGAAAGTTTTCATAGCTAGAGAGATGGCTGGGGAACTTGAACTGGATAGACAATCTGTAAGAAACAAAACTGAAAACGAACTGATATCAAGCACCGCAACCTGAAATGGCATAAAAGGTGAATCCCTGTCAGTGACATAGCTGACCATGCCAATCAATAACTCAAACTGAGATGAACAAGTGCAATAGATTTATCAATTAACCACTATGTGTATGTTGCTTACACGTCCACATTCAAATCCTACTGCTAGTCTGTCTCCAGAATTTACATACTGCAGGATGCGCACAGGAGAACTAAGGACGGAAAATATAGCCGTACATGGAGCTCCATTCTCACCACGCAAATTGCAAACTGCAAAAAAAGCTATGCAATGCTCATCATGTTAACAACAAAGAGAGCAAGACAGTTAAAAAGAGTGAGCATATGTCATTGACATTAACATCCTAGAAGACAAAAACAGGTAACTTGCATTCAAATTGAAAGGACTAGTTTAATAAGTAGACATTGTAAGTCCACTAAAACATTTTTTAATGCTTGGAGGGTGGCGTACCTGATTTTCTCTCTTTATTTGGCTTTTAGGATTGTTGAGATACTGTGTAAAGGAACAATAGCATGTCACCCAAGACAGTGCGAAACAGATTTTCATGTAACCAACTTTAAACAATTTTAGCAATGCTTTGTGGGGCTGAGTTTAGTTTCTTTGGGTTTTACGGATTCGTTCTTTCACTCTACTCATACCTGTATCTTCTAGCATCTAGCAAATTTTCCACCAGCAGTTTGAGGTTTGTTTCTACATCTCTAGAGGGGTCCAAATTTTTTTTTTTGTTTTGTCTTTCTCCAGCTTGTCTGTCATGTAGAAGAAAATACTTACGCAAGTTCGAGGTGAGCATTGGAACAATTATACACCCAGAAAATTATCTGACCAAACACAATTTTATACCATTCTTGTCTCATGTGACAGAAAACCAGGCTGCGTAGGATCGACCCGAAAGCTCAGACATTGTTGGACTCATAATTAGTAAATAAAAAGAAATTAAAAGATGTAAATGGAACCCATGTTGAGTTGAGGGATCCCAAAAGAAAACCATTTTGTTTTGTTCTCCCTTTCTGTTCACTATCTGCTCATGTTTCAAGCAATATACACAACAATAAGGATTTGACACTCCTCCCATTTGATTAATAACTATAAATTCCAAAATCTAATCTCAAACTTGCACATTCTGTCTAGCTTTGTTTGTGCAACCATGTTTCAAGAAATTCTTTCTCTAAACCCTTCAATGGCGTGATAATAAGTAGTAAAACACAAGGGAAACAACATCCAAATAATTGACATTTACAAAATCAAACCTTCACGTTTGCCTTCTGTCACTAAGTGAAAACTCATTTCATCCGAATTCCCAATTAGCCTATACAGGCGAACCTACATATACCCAAAAAGAAAGTAAGGCAATCAAAAATGTGTATCAGCATTAACGACACTCGTTGTCCATGGAAATGTAGCCACATTTATACACACAGCACACCACACGTGCGCACACAAACAGAAAAAGAAAAAGAAACTTACCAGACCATACTCATTGCCGACTGCCAAACTTAAAGTGGAGGAGAAAAAGTCCAATGCTGATACCGATGCATTTGTTCCAGCAACTTCAATGCCTTCAACCTGTGAATAACGTGGCGTACGTGATATTTAAGTAACAGTGGCCCAATTAAACTAACCTGTGTAATTAAAATTATGCAAGATGCCTACAGCATCATTAATATTTGACAATTGCAACACTGTACTAACCTCAGATCCTATGACAAAAGTGCAGGACAGAACAGGAAATGTAGCATCCCATATTCGAACAGAACCATCTTGATAGCCTGCTATATATACTCTCTTAATGGCATTGTCTTCAGCAAACGACAGTTGACTCGGAACACCACCAGTCAGAGGCCAATTGCTACACGGTGCAGTCACAGTATGTTTTGCTTCCAAAATTGTCTAATTAATCAAATACATAAATGCATTAAAAAAATTAAAAGGACACATGCAAATCAAATAATTTGTATTGAACACATGCAAATCAAATAATTTGTATTGAACATACTGAACCATTCCAAAGTGGCTCACATTTGGAAGGCATTCAGTACCTCAGAAACAGCCCTCGAAAAACTCCCTTCTGCCTGGATCAACTTGAGCTTTGCTACAGTAATGTATGGGTCAACAGTAGGTATAACCTCAGGATATTGAACTGCAGGAATAGAATACTTCTTCTCTGGCTGAGACATCAAGGCAGACAAGCAAGAATCATCATAAAAATGTAATTGTCCAGGGTTGCTCAACACAAAGAGTGAAGAGGTGTCAGATCTCTCTATTGCACCGGCATTTGGCACTAAAATCATATCCGCAAAAGAGCCATTAAGTGTGAGGTCTACACGGCCAATGCATTTTAAACTTTCAATACCAGAAGACCAATCAAGAGTGAGGATCTGAAAAGACATAAAAATATCAGTGCAAGACTCATATAATCCATAAAACATACGCAATCACACCTACACAAATCAAAACAGAAAGTAACAACTCATACTTTCACCATACATTAAGGATTAAAATTTCATTTTGGTTTGTTGTTTCGGTTAGCTTGGAAATAGAACCACTTCAAAAACATAAGAGAAGTCACAAAATCATTCGGAAACGTCTGGAAATGTTTAGAAACAAAAACTAAAACCTACAGAAATTTTTATACATTCCCAATAAATAAATAATAGAACATGTTGAGGTATAAACATCTCTTTACATAAAGGGCACAAGTGTACAATCCAAAAGTAAACCCAGCACAAACCAAGAATTGTTAATTTTATGTCAAACAAATCAATCTTATCAAGAACGTGTGTATAAAATTTCAAATGTGCATATAAGGATCCAAGTAAGTTTTTACAAAATTATTAATAAATAATGATATTAATAATAGATAAAGGTCAAAAGGTTTATAAGGTATGGGAGTCCTTCTGGAAAACAAGGTCACAACAAAATTAGGTTCCTCTGATAATGCTGAAGAGACTGCACCTTCTATTTGGATGAAGGGAAACTAAATTAAGCACTGGAGTTGCTTCGTAACGGTGCAATGCATTTAATGGAATTAAAAGTGGTACTTAACAAAGGGGGAAAATGTATGAAGCAACACTGGTTGAAGAGAAGAGGAGAGCAAGTTGTCTAAAAAGGTTCAACCATGTGCAACCTAGACTATTGATTGTACTAGAAAAAAAATGGAAGAGAATCTTGATTGAACTTGGAGATGCCAAAAAGGACATGGGAAAGGTAAAAAATAAGCTGTGACGGAGGACATGATTGAAGTCAACTGAGGAAATGATCTTACAAACAGTCAACCTGAGAATATAATTAAGGCTTATTTTTCTTTAGGTCAGATTAAAAGTGAGCCGCAACGAAAAACTTAAGGTAGATCCAATATTTGATTGAAGGATTAAAATATATGATTGTTGCAACATGATTAACTGCAATCAGCATCAGCTATGGGACAAACATAAACTAGTGAGTAGCAAATCTACAGCAAGGAAAGAGGTCCAAAGACAACACTATGGGAATAGTGAAAAGGGATCCTTCAAACTCTTTTCAAAAGATCCATTCCCACAGGGTTAGAACTGCAGAGCAAAGTTGCATGTTGCTAAAACCCTAATAGCTGAGTTTAAGGCAACGCATACCACCATTATATTATCAAGCATAATATTACAATCTATCAAAATACATGGAAATTATAGAGGCAAGAATGTGTAAAATGCTAAATCAGGTTTAGAGCACACCGTTAGAACTTCTTCAGATCCAATTTCATCGCCACCGTAGACAAAGAGTTGGCCCCCCCGATCAGTATGAAATTTGTTTCCAGACCAATGTAAAACAATGACTGGGAGTCTCCTGTCGACTGATGATAACTGTAGCTTAACATTATTAGATGCCCTTTGACCTCGCTGATCTTTGCTAGAAGCAGAAGTCAATAAGTTCCATAACAAAATATCTCCATCAACATAACCGACAGCAAGAATCGATCCATCAGAAGATGCCCAACAGAGAGAACTTATCTCTTTTTCTTCTTGTTCAGGGTCTGAAGTATTAGTAAACTGATCATAGTTCACTTCATTTGGAGAATCAACCACTTTATCATTCTTCAGTTGGAGATCTGTATTGCCTCTAACAAGAACAGCCCGATCCTCGGTAACATCCCAGAGAATGATCAATCCACTCTCATACACAATCAGCACTCTGCCAATGAATTAAACTGTTGTAAACACTGATAAAACAAAGCAACAAAACTGAATGTCTAATGTAAAATAATAGATAAAGAACATGAAGTAAAATTGCTACCAGAAAAGACGGAACTCTATGTTAGAAAGCTTCTATTAGGCAACAATATGTTGAGTATAATTAGTACACATGCATACTATGAAGGACACAAACGCAATAATACATGTCAACACATACAAACTTCAAGAGACAAAGAGAGATTAGATAGTTAGTGGCCTTCGGCAATGGATCAAGGAGGAGACAATTTGTGAAAGTAGAATGGCCAACATACAAGGATTGCAAGGTTACCCTAGCGAGCCTGACCACACAATAGAGCTAAATAAGACCAGATGTGATTATCAAGAGAGGTAAATAAAGAAAACCAGAACAAGAAGACAAATATTAGGTGATAGAAAGAAAATGTGGCACAAGTTACCTCATTCAAAGATTCTCCTTCTATCCTAAATAGTCAGTCCTTTTTAATTTGGAATGACCCAAACTGTAGGACCTTCCAATTCTATACCATTGTGTTCCACATGCGAGGCTAGCAGTAAGCTACTTTCTTTCCTTGCTGTCCTCAGTTGAAATCTCCAGGAAGATTGTTCTTCCTTATCTTGGTGTTTTCTGCTATTATATGTGGAATATAGCCTTACTATTTGTTGTCTAAAGCTTATTATGACTATGTTGTCAGGATAATTTGTTTTAATCCTGGAGATTTTTATTCTTATAGCTACTCCTAATTGGAATATCATACTTATCAGCTACTTGGACTTCGTTAGCGTAAAGTTCTCAACAGAAGCCACCCTATAATTGTTGTTGTTTGCAACAAAATTGGTACTAAAGCCTATTGGATTGCGTCACATCAAAAAGCAGATAAATACATATGTAATGTAAAGAGGTCAGCATATAGTCACAGTTGAATTTTGTAATTTGACAATAAGGTTGAATATGGAGAGATAATAAAGACAGAAAAGAGAAAAGAAAGAACACAAAGGGTTAATGTGGTTCAACCAATCTTGGCCTACATTCACATGCACAAAACCCTATGGGTTGCATCTTTCATTCACTCAACTTGATACTCTTGTTTACATGATACACCATATATATAGAGTGGGAAATACAATCAAATCCTTTTAGTTAAGGGATTGAAATAAATCAAAGATACAAACAATATGATAAACACAAATCATGAGATCTCCCTATATTTTGATATCTTTAACAATATAATCTTATTTTAACAGTCACTTGCCTATGAAGTGGAAGGGAAAACTATATAGAATAACTATAAAACTCAATATGCCCGTATGGATTAGAGTGTTGGCTATCACAAACCAATTTCTTTCTAAAATGAATGTGTTTAAATGCACCATTGAGATGGGCAAGCATGCTTTGAAAAACAAAGAATGATCGAATTATAAATAAATGCATTCACAAGAGATTATGGAAGCACCAATTGGAGAACAGTTGAAGAAAATAGATTAAGATGGTTTAGCCATGTAGAAAACATGAGTGAGGCAACCAACGAGAAGAGAATTCCATATTTTGAAGTTGTTGCAGTTATTAGTGAAGACGAAAACAATGCATCCGAAGGTCATGAAAAAAGACATGTTGGCATGTGGATGGACCCAGATAAAGCGAAGGGGCAGAATCGGACTGCTACGCTTGGCCCCATATAGCTGAGACAAGCTTTATGGAGTTGAGTTGAACGATGTCCTCATTAATAAGGCTATTGCTGGAATAGGATATCTTCAAATGACATTATATATGAGGATAACAGAAAAAATGCGAGGAAGAAAGGGGAAGAGAGAGTAATCACGAAAAGAAAATTAAAAAGTACGCATAAATAAGGGTGTTCGTAGTTCGGTTTTGGACGGTTTGCAGATCGGTTTGGACTAGCCCGCATGTATGCGGTTTGAGAAAAATTCAACCTGCAACCGCCCACAGTGCGGGTTGCGATTTGTGCAGATAGGGTTCGCAAATGTGCGGGCGGTTTGCAGATTGGACTTTTTTCAATTTCCAGATTCAATATAATATAAGATTGATTTCAATTTTAAAAGTAATTAACAGATTCAATTTCCCTCCATGAAGGAGTAGATTCAATTTCCTACAATGTTCACAGAGCAAACAAAAACATTCAAAAACAATGTTCTCTACAATATTTCTTTTAGAATCATGAAATTAGGGTTTGATAGGTTGGCCAAAAATATCTAGGATAGGATGAATGAAATCAACCGTCTTAGGTTTTTTTTATTAAAAATAAAAAAATAAAAAAAATTCTAAGTGCAGTCAGGTTCTTGCGGGTGCAGGTTAAACCCGTAACCCGCAACCCGCAATTATGTCATATTCCAAACCGCATCCACCTGCATTGTGTCTGCGAAACCACCCATTTGTATGCGGATTGGTTCAGATTGGACGGGTTGTACGGTTCGGATAACCCTATGCCCAGCCCTACCCATAAATGACTTCTAGCATGTAAATTTTGTTTAGTGGTTAACTAATTACACCACAATTCAATTTGATCAAGTGTGAATTATCTTCACAAGTTTCAAGTGTTCTATGATGATGAGCCATGTCAGAAAGATGACAAGCAAAGGAGAGAAGCCAAATTCTCATGATTACCCTTTCATAAATGCTTCATCAAGGGGGATTTAAAAGAGTTCAGAATTGCTTTCATTCTTTTTGTTGGAGGGTTGCCCACAAGTAGCTTGAGGGAAACTTGGGATGTGCCTCTTCATAAAGGGATAGAATAAACATTAAACAAAAGTAAGATCCCAGTTCATAACTTGAAAGGAGTTGTTTTCAGCTCTTTGCCTTATTTTTGGAAGCTTTCCGTCTTATTCAGATCCTTTGCTTGAGTTCTCAAGGGATTCTACTCTTACTAATTGTCAGGAGTTTTCCTTTTGTACATGTCTTGTTGCACCCTCATATCCAACCAATGAGGGGTCCCATTTTCCTGCGCTTTTCTTGTATACAATACTTGTAAAAACAAAAAAAATTGGCATCCATGTCCTTGTTAGGCACTCAGTTCATGCAAAGACATGAACCTAAATGGAAAGGCTAGTGAATATTCAAGAACTGCCAGCATATACATGGAAGTTGCCATCTAGCGGGTTCTTATTGGAGTGCAGTACAAGAGTTTTCAAACATATTTCGAAAGTCAAATCAAGGTTATCCAAAAGATAAATGCAAAGTCATACTTTGCAAGGCTGATGTCTACTTCTTAATGGCCAAATTCTAACCTAAAGATGAACACACCAGTGGTAATGAGAAAACTAAGAATAAGTACAAGTATTTCTTGGTTGGAGAGGCAGCTGTTTATGGTGTTATATAATTGGGTTACGGGGTTGGTTGATCCAGATGTTTTAGCTTATGTAGATTTTGTGGAGGATTTAATAGCTTAGTATTTTTTCCTTGGGGATTTGAATTTTGTATTCTTTGCATCATCTTGATGCTTTTCTAATAAATTTGCTTATTTATCAACAAAAAAAAAATAGAAGTAGGCTATGCATATAGCAAGAAAACTTCTATTTCAATTTTGTTTTGTCTCGCAGATAAATCAGATTGAAACTGCGGGTATGGCTATTTGACCTGTTTCTTTGACTTTTTCTTATTTATGTCTCCTCTGTTTAGTATCCATCTTTTCCTAACCTATAGCAGACTAGCAGTTCTTTTCTTTAACCAAATATTTCAAGAATGGTATTCCTCCACATATAGAGTATCATAAACTCATGGCAACAAAACTTGATGCATGGTGTAAAAAATCAAAACCAGAAAACTGAACAGAGAAAGTTCAAGTATTCCTTGTCTTGCCTATTTCCAAGGGAACAAGGTTGTGGGAGCACACCAACAACAGATTGATGATTGGGCAATGAAATCCCTACTGTTTCTGCAGAATGAACAAAATATGGTATTTATTATATTAAAAAAAATAAACACAAAATTGAAGGAAGAAAGAGAGACGATCGGCAAAAAGAAATAATTCAAAACATCTGAAAATTTAGTTATTTTTGTTGTTAATGCAGAATAATGAATTATCCATTCTACATACCACCCACCAGGAAATTTTTTATTATTATTATTACACCTTAAAATGTCCTTCCATACTTAATGCTAATTTTACATTTTTTTTTTCAATTTCTTGTTTGCATCATGTTGGATTAAAGGCTTTATTGCAATATGGGGTTGCATGTGAAGGAGACTGTTAGAGAGGTCAATATTCATTGTTGGGCCCCTTTTCTAATTGTTTAAACAATTGCTAGTATAGCTCAGATACCAATTCAAAAAATAAAGGGGCAATGCATACACACATAACTTGGATTTGAGGTGTGTGCTTGGAATATGGAGACAACAAATTTGTTAATGTAAGATTTCAATAATATAAGAAGTCATGACCTGGCACAATGGCAAGTGTTATCTGCCCCTAACCTCGAGGTTATGGGTTCAAGTTATGGGAACTACCCTCTCCACACAAAATTAAAATAAAAAATAAAAAGTGGGGTAAGGCTACCTACCGAGCATCTCTCCCAACCTCTACTGTAAGAGCCTTTTGTACTAGCTACAAGTTTTTTTAAGATTTCAATAATATCACATTACCAGGAATGGAAGAATGAGTCAGTACCAGTTATAAGATTTGCAGGAATGTGATACGGCAATTGTAGAATTTTTCCTTCTTCAGCATCATACTTCAATACAGACAAAAAACCATACTCATCTCCAACATACCTGAACGTAACAACAAAGAAACAATATTTTAGGCTATGACCAAGTTAAGCTCTCATTTTCAGCCAATTACTACTGAATTGAGCGGCAAAACAATTTTGGCAGTATTTTACATGTAATGGGTGCCATAGATAACTGAAAAAGCAGTTATGTTTGACTCCCACTTTAAATTAGAAGCTATACACCTGCGTTCTAGATCCCAAACCTGCCAAAATCAAAGGTGTGTCAGCAATTAAAAGGGAGAAATACAAAAGACTGTATGCAAAGATAAAGACAGATTATAAGTCATAATTGCTTCACAAGATCAACTTGCCTACAGAAAATCAGTACCTGAAGTTCATTTTCATTTGAGACACTGGCTAGAAACCCTTGGTTTTCTAGGAACTGTAAGAGAATAAAAAAACAAAAAGATTATAAAAAAAAAAAACAACTAGTATCATTAAACAAATTGTGGCCGTTTCATATTTTTCTGTTCTCAAAAATGTTTCAATGGCATCCTCCAATTCATATTTCAACAATCAACATTTGACATCACAAGGGCATACATTGGACACATAAATAAACTAAATGTAAACAAATCACTTGCATCTCAGAAAACAAATATTCCCTCCATCCCAAATTAATTGTCCCCAGAACATCAGTTCTTAAGGAGACATCATTTAATGCATGCACATTCAACTACATGCATAAAAAGTACGAATTTTCAAAACTACCCTCCATCCATGTTTAAGTCGGTGTTTGAAATTATTATTTTTTTATTTTAATATATAAAAGGGGGCATGTAGGAAAGATAGGAATTTCCTACATTGATTTTCCAAAGTAGAATAAGTGGACATCCAAAGAAAGACAAAGAAAAAACAATTTCGATGAATGGACTATCATTCAAGGATTTAGATGCATTAAAAAAAATGTGAGTAAGATATATCAAGCAATCGCAAAGAACCAGCAAAACATTTTTTTTTTTGATAAATCCAACCACAGCAAAATGTGTGAAACAAATCCAATGCAAATGAAGGAAATTGCACTATGCGGAGTAAGTTAAGAAAAACCAGATCAAATTCAACTATGTTGATGAAGGACGACAACGAAATTTGAAATGTAAACAAGAAAGAAAAGGAAAAAGGAAAGATGATCATTTTGTGCATCTAGCTCCCAGACCTGTAAGTTTTTGAAGGGCAATGGCTTGGAAGATAAGAGAAGTCCTTCAATATTATCACCACCAATCACTTTAATCCTACCATCACTGCAATGAGCATGAAAGAAGAAAGTCATTAAGCAAAGGAAACCAGAGAAAATTAACATTCAAAAAACCATAATCAGTGCCTCATAATGCTGGATGCCCATCTGTTGGTTCCAACAGCTACTACATGATGTAGAACTGCTCTAATTGACAAAATTTCAAATATTGTTCAGATATTTGTCTTTGGAAAACTCATAACCATAAAACTTATGTGATTCATTAAATGAGGTCCCAGAGAGAGAGAGAGAATTACTAATAGATAGAATCATGAAGTTTGGTTAATTGTTCCCAAATGGGAACTTAAATTCAACATACAGAAGTTCAAATGGGGTCAACATGCAAAGGTCATCTTTTCCTTCTTCCCCCAAACATTAATTAAAATATTGGTGGTGATATCATTTCAAACGTGCAATCAAGGTTAAGTTACATTTTGGGGAGGGTCTAGAGTAAGTCAATCCCTTATGTTTTTGTTTTACTTCTCTTTGATTGTATAGGGCTGACACTCCTTTGGTGTTCTTTTAATAAAATCTTATTTATATAATAAAAAAATTACAAAAAGTAATTAAGGTTGACAACTATGTTTTGAATTGCCTTCTTATGCCATACAGATTGTGATTACCCACCCAATTTTAGCTAATAATTGTGATACGTTGACATCACAATACATAAACTGGACCAGACTTGCTAGCGACAAAGCAAATTATGAAGTTAAAAGAATCACATGCACAGTTGATGCAACCAAGTATTCTCTTAATAAATTAACGATCTCTTTTTCTTTAGATTATTTGGTAAATATTTTGCCTCAAACTTATTCAAATTTAAAAGCATTTGAATTGACCACTGAACGAGGAAAATGTTCATGTACTATTGTCAACTAATGATGCAGAGAGCGTGCAAACAAGGACATAGATTAAGTTAGATGACGGAGGACAGCTTTAGAAAACTTAACCTAAGGCAGCCCAAAAGTAGACTTGTGGTGGGTTTAGGGTAAGCAGGGATTCTAAGTTTAAGATTTTAAATGGTAGAAGAAGGTTTATAGAGTATATGGACAGAAAGGACTTCTCAAAAATTACAGGTTGCAGGATTTTCAGAAATCATATGATTAGTGGGCCTAGAAAACAACTATTTTAGAGTACAACAGTTACATTGATGGCCAATGTGTAGGATAAAATATTAGGGTTCGTTAGGCTTGATTTGGTAGTGTTTCAAGGCTGAAAAGGGCACTATTTGGGGATTGTAAACAGTAACCCAAGAACAACAAATGAGGAATAAATTATAGGAATTCAACCTAGAACTCCAAAGGAATGTATCACACAAGTTCCAAAAGCTTCTTATAATTCTTTAAAACTCAACTCCATAGAATGAAAGATTTACATAAATAGTTATAGGTTGTTGGCTCTCCTAATTACATTAATGGTTATAGGTGGTTGGCTCTCCTAATTCTACTATGACTAGGACTTAAAATTCTAGGAAATTTTGACTCTTTGACAACTAGACTATTCTAGACTTAACAAAAACTTCATATTTGACCCAATGGTTGGCGGCTGCTTTTTCCAAATTAACGTTCCCAAGTTACTGTTCAAAACCTATATTTAAAACCCAAAACCCCACCCAATCAAGCCTAAATCAAATCCAACCCTTTTGCCTATCTTTTGGTCTTCAACGTAACAACTAAACCTCTAATTGGTTTTTGTCTAAAGGCCTCCAAAAGTTAATTTTCTGAAATTAACTATTTAATTTTGGAAACTAAGCACATTGCAACCCTTTTCAATCTCCAAAACCTATAAGACTTCTTTAACATGTAAAAACCTTTAAAGCATAGATTTCTGTATCCAAAACCACCACAAAACCAATAGTAAGCAGCCTTAGTCTAAGTATCCTAACATAGTCCCACATCAACTGAACTTAATGTCATTTAATAATTAAAAAAGAAAAACATTACTCACAGTGTCCCTATTGCCAGAAGGCGTTGAATGGGATCAAAAGCAAGAATTGATGCAGTGGACGGGATCCCAAAGTGAACAGAAACACGTGGATCCAAGTCTTTCAATGTTACACTTCCCTTTGGCACACTATGCTGAAGAACAAAAAATGGATGTAAGTATTACAATATATTAAATTATAGATATATAGCAAAAGTTAAAAAATTTGCAACCCACATTGCATATCTACATTCACATTATAGGATGTGGGTGAGTAATTAAAAGCATAAAAATAATAAAAAATTGTAAAGAGGGTGTCTTTGACTTGGATATTTTGTTTTCCCTAATTTAATCATTAGAAAAGGTCACAGGTCGTAATGCATTTAGGAAGTGTTGGATGCGATTACATGTTCCAATATATTTACTTCTGGCTGGAAAATTGGGTACAAGTTAAGTTCAATTATTCTCAGCACCGAGTAAATAAAAGAAGTTCTTAGCGTATGCTTACTATTTCCTTTTGTTTTTTCCTACTCCCAAGTCCTAAGTGCTTGATAACTAGCAACCTCAGCGATATATGATCCAGAGGGCTTTTTTTCTTTTTTTTTTTAATTTCAAATCCTTCATTTGTATTAATTTAATTATAGAAGCTTCAGTTATGAGGCTGCTTTTAATTTTCTAATTGATTTACTCTCAATCCATTGATCATCCTTTTCCTTCTCCCCTTCTTCCTTCATAAATTTAATGAAGTGAATATAAGTTGATCTGTTCCCCCCAGTAATACAAATACAAATAACCTGATCAGATATCAAAAATTTCAGTTATCAATCTTTTTACCAACAAGAATCACAAAGAATCAAGCATCCTTTTTTTCTTCTTTTTATTGGAATCATAGCAGCAAAATCTAAAATGCCCCAAAAATATTTCTCTCTTAATTTTATTTTCCCTGTGATTTCTCAGCAACCAAACAAAAGAGAACGAAAGCAATTGCGCACACAATTAGGTATTGACAAACAAATGACAATTTTGCAATCACTATCGAAGAGGAATTTGAGAGATATACCTGAGGAGAGTGAGTGACCTTGTTGAATAATTTGGCCAACGTAGCCATATATACGAGAATCGACGAGCTCAGCGTTTGTTGTTGTGATCTTCTTCGATTGCTTGGCCTCTGAGAATCTCAGGTGGCTTGTGGATACATCCCTAGGCTGAATAAGTCTTCATTTGGCAAAAACATTTTTAGTTGTCTTTTTTAAGTTGATTTTTGTCTCGTCTACCAACAGGTTTTTTTTTAGTAATTTTTTGGGTTTTTTAATTAAAATATAATGTAAAAAAATTAGTAGGTTTAAAATGATTTTTTAATTTTTTTTATAAAAAAAAGTGTAAAAAAAAAAATTAGTAGGTTTAAAATGATTTTTTAATTTTTTTTATAAAAAAAAGTGTAAAAAGTAGGGAGAAAATAATTTTTTTGACTTTTTTTATATAATTTGTTAATTTTTTGATTTTTTAATAATTTTTTGACTTTTTAACTAAAATCACCACTTGCCAATAGGGATGGCAATCTGAAACCGGCCCGATGGGGACCCGACCCCCCGATCCCGAATATAACGGTTATTCCCCGAAAAATACCCCCGACGGGCCGGGGATGGTGATAAAAAAAAATTCCCCGATAATTTTCGGGCCGGGGACGGGGATACATGTTTCAGTCCCGGGCCGGCCCCGAACCCCGACCCGAGCATGCCCCGATCAGTCCCCGTGTGTATATGTCTCAATCCCGTGTGTATATAGATATATATGTTTAGAAATTAGTGGTTATGTTATTATTTTATCTCAACCACTCTCTCTCTCTCGTTCTTCTCTCCCCCTTTACTCTCTGTGTGACTGAGAGATGAGAAAGAAGCGAAGGTCCAACCCTCCGTCGCCTCCTCCCCTCCTCGCCTTCACCACCGTCCTTCATCGCCTCTTCTCCTCCTCCCCGTAGTCCACTTCGCCCATCCGTGACTGCAACGTACACAGACTTCGATCTACCTCCGATCACAGACTTCGATCGACTCGCTGTGTTGATCTGCCAAGACTTCGATCACAGACTTCGATCTACCTCCGACCACAGACCACAAACCACAGACTTCGATCAGTTTCTACAGCGGTGGATCTACCTCCGATCTGTTTCTACGGGGGTAGATCTGCCTCCGATCTGTTGCTATGTTGATTTGTTGATGAAGATGAAGATGTTGATCTGTTCATATATATATATATATATATGTAATTTTTTGATTTTTTAATAATTTTTTTACTTTTTAACTAAAATCACCACTTGCCAAACGAGTCAGTTTGGAATTAAAAAAAAAATTAATTGGTTTTTTTTTTTTGAAAAGAAAAAGTAAAAAAAATGTAATTTGAACATGATATTTTATTTTATTTTATTAATTTTTTAATTAATTTTATCTTTTAGTAGCTGTTTTAAGGATAAAACACCAACAAATCCCAAATTGTGAACTTATACACTACCTGTCTTTTTTCTATTAAACCGAAAGGTCCTGAAACATGCAAAATATCAAGGTTATCCTCGAGCATGTGCGTTTTCAATGTTTTAATTGGGGGCAAAATGGGTTTTAGGTACTGGTAAAATTACTAATTTGGACATAGAGCACACTATAGGCTTTTTTGGTTTCTCTCGTTTTTTATCAAATCTCTCAACCTGTAGAAGGAAAACATTGAAGATTAACATTTCCACATTTTAACATTTTCATTATGATATATTGAAACTCTAAATGTGTTTTTGGATATTTCGAAAGTATATTTGAACAATTCCACATTGTGTTTCGGTAGGAGCCCTAGACCCAAACATTGTAAAAGGTTGTGTACATTGCGCAAGTCAAAATACGAGCGCCGTGCACTGCGCTAGAGCAAGGTTACTGTCGATTTCATAGAAGATTGGTTTACAGAACAGGAGGTCGGTGATTTGTATCCCTTACATCGATATGAACGTTGTCAAAGCTGTTGACGATGACAATGAACCGCGAATGTGTGATTCATTTGCCATTGTAATTGTCGATGTTATAGAAGTTTGTAGCTATGATTTGTGATTGTTTTGTGTTGTATTTGTGTATTTATTTTGAATGTATACATTGTGCTAGATGTTTATCATAGTTTGCGATTAAGGCATAGGTCACAATCATTAGAAATGAAAATCACGTTTTCCGATAGATTACAGCGTAGTGTACATTGTCATTGGAATTCCGCACCGATGGGTTGGGATTTCAAATTTCATTTGTGTGGGTGTTTGATGTGCATATTGGATGTTAATATTACCTTTGAAATGGTAAATAAACACATTCGTGGGTGATATTTTGGATGTGTTCGTCTGGGAACATCAATGTGGATGGTGATGGTTTGATGTGAATATGTTAATTTAGCTTTATCATCAAATGATTAAATAGGCAATTGAAATGTTTGTTATGTATGGTATGATGCAATGCAATGCGTTATGTTACGTAAAATTTAAGTGCATGTGTATTTTTGTCGCATCTGCAAATATGGTAGGCTAATTACTGGATGTGGGTTGATGTTAATATGGTAATCAAGATTTCGATGTGGCGTTAAATGGTCGGACAAAACAGGTAGAAGTTGGGTGGTGGTAGTTTTATGAGCACAATGCATTGTGGTACATTTAGACATGAATATGTGTGATTTATTAGTGTTTCAATTACAAACTGTGTTGTATTTTTTATTGCGCACTGAATGACGTTATGTAATGTAAATCCGGTCTGTATGGTAACATATGTAAAGATTTACACCTTTCTGTGCTATGGTGGTTTGGATTTTTATGCTTAGTTTGTCAGTTAATATTGGAAAACAGAGACATTGTTAACATTGGAGGTTGGTAGTGTTGTGTATCTAATATGACAACAGTAACGTTGTTGTTAATGTGAATTAAATTTGTTTGTGAAATTCACCATCACCACTGCGGCAGAGTTCCGAAAGGAACAAATACAAAAAAGGTAATACATCAACAACAATGAAACCACCTCACCTGTAAATCAATGCAGCAAATCTACATAAAAAGGTAATGTAAACATACGGTATCCCAATCAAACAAACTCACATATGTATACAGAATCCACCAAATCCCATAACAAAGGGTACAAATGTAAACTCCAAACATACCAAATCAAATAAAAATATTCCTTCCCAATCAAATAGGACTAAATGGTTTATAAAAAAATACACAAGACTAAATGGAATAACATTTCTTGAATTGAGATTTATCAGTAATTTTTCCTTTCAACTCTAATTAGCTTTGCCAAATGAAGTCTAAAGCCTCGTTTGGCAACATTACTTTTTAGCATAAAAGTAAAAAAGCCAATAACTTATACCAAAAAGTCAAACATTCTATTTTCTCTCTACTTTTTACACATTTTTTCGTAAAAAAATAAAAAAATCATCACAAACATACTATTTTTTTTTACATCATATTTTTACAAAAAAATCAAAAAATTACTAAAAAAACCTGTTTCCAAACTAGGCCTAAATATCCTTGGCATATGCAAGTTTATAAGCCGTTAATGCCCTTGTTAGGCATCTCAGTTGGGAGTTATTGGGCTAAAATTGTCACAAGAAAATAAAATATATTAAAAAGTTAATAAAATAAAATGTCATACTTAAATTATAATAGTTTTTTAAAAATTAAGTTTTTTGTTTCTTGTATTTTTTTTTGTTTTTACTGAATATTTTTAAAATTTTAAATAATTTTTTTACTTTTTTAGATGCACCTATCTAAATAGTAAAATATTTATGAAAAAATGTTTTGAAAAATTAATAAATACACAAAAATAAGAAAAATGCATTGAATTTTTGTTTTTGTTTTTTTTTGTATTTTTGGATTCGCTGAATTTTTTAAAGATTTTTTTTCACAAGTATTATTTTGTTTTTACTGAATATTTTTTAAATTTTAAATAATTTTTTTACTTTTTTAGATGCACCTTATTTAGATGTATCTAAATAGTAAAATATTTATGAAAAAATGTTTTGAAAAATTAATAAATACACAAAAATAAGAAAAATGCATTGAATTTTTGTTTTTGTTTTTTTTTGTATTTTTGGATTCGCTGAATTTTTTAAAGATTTTTTTTCACAAGTATTATACTTTTTAAGTATATTTATATTAGGTGTGTCTAAATTTTTTTTAAAAATTGCTTAAAATATTTTTAAAAATGCAATGAAAACAAAAAAATAGAATTTTTTGAAAAGTGTTTTCTGAAAATCAAAACCAAACAAACTAATCATTTTATTTTTTCTTTCACAAAAATTTAAAAAGTCAAAAGAGTCACAAGAAACTCAACTTAAACGAGACATTTTAGCCCTCAGTTTTGGTTATTTTAAGAAGTAAGTTAAAAGCTAAAATTTTGATTTTTTATGACTATTTTTAAAAAAATATGTAAAAAAGTAGAGGGATGATATGAAAAAATAATTAAAAATCAAAAAATTGACTTAACCTCTAATTAAAATAGGCCAAAATAATTTTAAAAACAATTAAAATTAAGAAGGTGTTTGGCTTGCACTAAAAAGAGAAGTGATTGGCAGCTCAAATTTGAGCACCCGAATCCCCCCTGAATTAAAAAACGACGTCGTTTTCATCGTTTTTGATTTTTTTTTTTTTTCAGAAGAAGAAAATCAGAAGAAAATCAAAAGAAGAGAAGGAAGAAGGAGGAAGAGGAAGAAGAAGAAGAAGAAGAAGAAGAAGAACTGGACTGGAGGGGCCAGCAAAATCGGGCTGGAGGCGGAGGCGGAGGCGGAGGCAAAGGGCAGAGGCAGGGGGCGGAGGCGACGGCGGGGCGACGATCGGGCAGGCGACGGCTGGCGGAAGGGCTGCCATCTCTTCCCCTCTCTTCCTCCTCTTCCCTCTCTTCTCTTTCTCTCTTCTCTTCTATCTGATTCGGGAGATTCGGGAAAAAAAACATTTTCCCACTAAAAAAGTGCATTTTTTTTAACACATACACTTATTTAGATCACATCAATTAATATCTATCAACATTTTCTCTTTATTTTTATATCCATTTTCTTTACTTTTTTACATAATTTTTATAAAAAAAATTAAAAAATACACTTATTTAACCAATGCATCACAAATCACTCATAAATAAACCAAACCCACCTCCTAAAGGAAGCCAATGATTTTGAATGTGTCATGTCACACACAAGCACTAGGAATGGCAACGGGGCGGGGCGGGGCCGGG